CAGCCAGTCAACGATTCTCTCACATCATTGATATTTCTCTCTCTCTCTCCCCCTCCCCCTTCCTCTCTGAAATCAATAAAAATATATTTTTTAAAAAAGAAAATTTAATTAGCTCATCATATATTTTTACTCATTTCAAACCAAGTAGACAAATAACTACTTTAAAGGATAATATCTTAATGAAATACTACTTACAGTTACACTGTTAACATTCTGAAACTTAACATAGCGAAGTGGAACAATGCCATCTTCTTTAATATCATCCTCTGTTAGTTCCAGAGCTTGAGTTGGTTCACTTCTTTCTGCTTCTTCAAAATCCATAGATCGGGGCAGATTGATAAAAATTTTTACGTATTTAGGACCTTGACCTATAAAATGGTGGAACAAAATGCTAAAAATCAAACATATATTTTCTTCCCTTTATTATTTCATTCATACTATAAAGACACACAAACAAACATATGCACATATCTATATACATCTTTAGGAGTTCTAAGAAAGTCAGAGTATTTTCACAGCCACTTCTTGGCCTGCTAGCACTATACTCCAGGAATTCTAGATCAAAACACATACATATACATGTACCCACATACACACAGTTCTTGCCCTCAACTAAAAGATATACTATGTAAATGTAATACTACTAGTGAGGAGGTAAAGGGAAAGTAGCAATGGAGTCCCACAGTATATGCAGGTTAACAAGTTTCATAAAAGAAACAACATTTGATCAGGGTCTTAGTTGCCAACAACTGGTACATTTTGTTAAGAGGGAAGCTTTAGTGTATGATTAGTCAAAAGGAGGTTAATTATATAAATTGCCAAGTTTCATCTTGGGAATTAGGATGTGCTCAGTGGTAAAATCACATTCATAGAGGGTCTTAGTCCCTTTAACTCCAAGGTACAATTTAAACCCATATTTTCTAGCTGATTAAAGAATCTTAAAATATCCACATTGCTTAAATACTCATTTCTACAGCATTTGCTTTTACAAATACTTTGGATTTTCAGAATAAAGACACAGTTGCATTAATAAAAATTAAATATATAAAATTTTAGAATAATCAATGAGAAGGAAATGCTATGTGATACATAGGGTACTGGCTGTTTCTTCTAAGTAATTAAAAAACAAAACAAAACCAAGAAATCTACTCTCTCCTCCCTCCCGCCACTCCAGCCCACCCCAACAACAACAACAAAACTTCCACAGACACAGGAAAAGGAGGAAAGGAGGTCGGGAAGAGTGAATAAGGAAAGTTCTTTATTTAATACAAATAGAAATGCCTAGTCTGTGCAATCATGTTTACAGCATCATATCTATAAATAATATGAATCTATTAATAGGGCACAAATAAGACAATCTTGAACCTTAGTTTTATCATCTGTAATAGGAGTTTGAAAGAAATAAATTATACCCAGTTTTGATCCTTAACAATGACTACTTCAAACCTAGAGTTTTAGAGTCATAGTTGGAAGAAAGGGTTCACTTGCTTTCAGACTAAGAGGAAACTTAAATTGTAAAATTAAAAATTTTAGAAATAAATCTCACATTGTTTGCCCATTCATTTATATCCTTGCTTTGTTCCAAAAACAATTTCACTCTTTCTTCAAACAAGGAATATCTACCTTTATTGAAAAAAATAGAGGTAGACCTTTTAACAGGTCTACAGATCAGAAAGTTAGTTTAGAGAAAAACTGTCCATTACTTACCATTATCTGGCCCTTGAAATTTCATTGAATAAAGCTTCACAGGTTGATTAAATGCCACAGTAATAAGCAGCTGTGAAGGAAATAATTGTTTAACTTTAAAAGGGCTCTTGAACACCTTGAGCACACACAACAGCTAAGTAGAATTAATTCAGAGACAAAAATTTTTTAATTTATCTAATAAAACTAATGTAATATGTAAAATCAGTAAGTTGAAAGTAACTTGATTAGACTGACATCTGAAAAATACAATTATCTATTATTCATATAAGAGAATGAAACAAAAAGTTTAATGGAATAATTAACTATAATTATGCATAAGAACATAAGGTCTTGTGACCTATAAACTGGCAAACCATCTGCTTTCTAAAAACTCAAAACAGCTGAAACCGGTTTGGCTCAGTGGATAGAGCGTCGGCCTGCGGACTGAAGGGTCCCAGGTTCGATTCTGGTCAAGGGCATGTACCTGGATTGCGGGCACATCCCCAGTGGGAGATGTGCAGGAGGCAGCTGATTGATGTTTCTCTCTCATCGATGTTTCTGACTATCTCTCTCCCTTCCTCTCTGTAAAAAATCAATAAAATATATTAAAAAAATAAGTAAAAAATAAAAACTCAAAACAAAATTCCCCAATTAAATTAAAATTTATACTATTTATGCTAACATATAAGCTTACTGTTTTCCAGGATGGTTTATTTGTCAAGCACCTACCTATGTTACTTGATAATTTGGATACAATGCACAGGTTATGTGGAAAGACTAACCCTCAAATGAACCCTACTTGATCTAAAACTCCAGAGAAGAGGATTCCTACAGCTCTACAGTCGTCTCCAAACCTCCATCCTTAACGTATTTGACTAACTTAATTTGGAAGGCCACATAAGAAAACCGATACAAAATACTGTCACAATGCCTGTCTCTCAGAAACTTGGATTCAATCGCTTTATCTTCTTAACCAAAATTGTGTCTGATGTAGGTGCCTATGCTTCTATCGAATCTATCCTGACAGGAAGATTTTAGGAAAGTTGTAGCCAAGCTGCTGATATGTACCATCAAATTATATTCAGAGCACCATTTACGAGGAACACAGTATGAACAATTTTCTCAAAGTTGTATGTTAAGGTAGATCTGGTTGGAGCACAGAAAATGGGGTTTAGATTTATGGTTTTAGAATCATTATGGTATGTCTGCCTAAGATTATACCTAGACTATATCCTTTAGTTATATAAGTACTTTTTATACTTGATCTCTAATAGTGTCAAAAAATAATAAGCACAACATGTTTAGGGACCTGAACCACAGGTGAAAGGAGATGAGAGTAAAAGCTAAAACAGATCAAGTCAGCAAGAATGTGACACTCTAAGCCAGGGGTGGGCAAACTTTTTGACTCGAGGGCCACAATGGGTTCTTAAACTGGACCGGAGGGCTGGAACAAAAGCATGGATGGAGTGTTTGTGTGAACTAATATAAATTCAAAGTAAACATCATTACATAAAAGGGTAAGGTCTTTTTTTTTTTTTTTAGTTTTATTCATTTCAAACGGGCCGTAGTTTGCCCACGGCTGCTCTAAGCCAATGAAGAATCATTTAACTCTTAAGAAAGAAGCATGACTAGATTTTTATTTAGAAAAAAAATAGCTTTAGTGAACATGTAGAAGATGAACTGGAATGGGGACAAAGCAGAGTCAGTGGAATACAAAGTAAATTAAGGAAAATAACAGTCAAGATGAAAGATGGCTGATCAAGGCAGTATAACACTACTTCCTCTGTGATAACAATGCAGGGAAGTACAACACAGGTTTACTTCTGGGAGTGAGGATTAGATATATAGGGAGTGCTCATTTTTGGTGAATAAATGTATGAAAGTTGGGTCAAGAATGAACAAAAGGACTAAAGAGTGGTGAAGGTTCAACTTAGCAGTGGAGTCAACCCAAGAGTTCCACGATTCTCCCTAGCACCCTTGGCAGCTCACACAGAAAGAGAAAAAAGATGGGTCTGCATTGGTCAAGGGACAGGGGTCAAAGAAAATCAAAGTTTTAAAAAGAAAAGGAATAGTGGTCAACTGGGAAAGAGAGACATAAAACCATGAGATGGAAACATGACCAAGAAACAAGAGCAGGCATAAATATTGATAATCCCTATGCCTTAACTCAGACATCCAATTACCTGTTCATCACAATCAGACTCCAAGAAGGTCATGTCTTTTCGTAAACAGTTGTCAAATCCATGCTCATCACTTTCATTAAGACATTCACAGCCAGCTTTGTTAATAAACGGCATTAAATCCATCTGAAAAAATTAAATCAAGATTTTAGGCAAAGCATTTGGATTTGGTTTAAAAATCTTAGTAAAAAACTTAAATATATAATTCTCTCTACATTAGGCAATTTTAGAGAAAATATCTATCGCTTTTAAAATAGTGATTAGCTGTAGCTGGCTTGGCTCAGTGGAGAGTGGGTCTGCAGACTGAAGGGTCCCAGGTTCGATTCTGGTCAAGGGCACATGCCCGGGTTGCGGGCTTGATCCCCAGCTAGGGACGTGCAGGAGGCAGCCGATCAATAATTCTCTCTCATCATTGATGTTTCTCTCTCTCTCTCTCCCTCTCCCTCCCTCTCTAAAATCAATGAAAATATATTTAAAAAATAATAATAAAATAGTGATTAAACTTTAATAATACTTTCATTTGATTTCTGAGATCTACCTCTAATTATTAAAGCCAAATCTAGGCATAGCCCATTTAAGAAGGTATCAGAAACCAAGTCCTTAACACTAAGATTATAAAATATTGTCTGATATTTTTTTAATATTGGTATTTAACAGTGGAAAGTATGCAAATTAAAATATCTGTAAAATTTGAAGCCTTCCTCCCTCTTCTTGTGGGCATGAACTCTTTAAACCCGTGTCCTTGAAGACCTTACATTAAAGATGACTAGTACTCCAGGTACCCACCTCCCAGCTACAATAAACATCAATTCATGCCCACTCCTATTTCATCTTTACCTTGCAACCAGTCCTCAGCCTTTCCCGATTATTTTCATGTAAATCTTACATTGTTTTCATTTCACTCAAACATTTCAGTGTGCATTTCTAAGTGATAAGAACTCATTTTTTTTTATTTTAAATATATATTTTATTGATTTTTTACAGAGAGGAAGGGAGAGGAATAGAGAGAAACATTGATGAGAGAGAAACACCAATCAGCTGCCTCTTGCACACCCCCCACTGGGGATGTGCCCGCAACCAAGGTACATGCCCTTGACCGGAATCGAACCCGGGACCCTTGAGTCTGCAGGCCGATGCTCTATCCACTGAGCCAAACCGGTCAGGGCAAGAACTCATTTTTTAAAATCCTCAATATCATCACAACTAAAACAAAAAAATACTATTTAAAAAATCATCAAATATCAGTGTTTAAATTTCCTCAATTGTCTGAAAAGGTGAAGGGATAAAAAAAAAAGTCCTTAATTGTCTCACAAATGTTTTATAGTTGTACTAGCGGCCCAGTGCACGAAATTCATGCACGGGTGCGGTCCCTGGGCCTAGCCGGCAATCGAAGCATGAGTATCTGGAGTGGGAGGGCAGGTCCCAGCTGACCTCTGACCTCTGGGCAGCACCTGGGCCTCCAAGGCCCCCCCACATGCCCCCTTCCGCTTGAGTCACTGCACCTGAATCCCCATGCAAAGATGCGGTGAGCGTGGCAGGATGCTGCGGGCCAGGGCGCAGTGTGGGCCTCTAGGTTGCCCAGAGGAGCTGCATGGAAGCCGGGCGAGCAGCACGCTCTCTCCCGGCGAGCCTCGCAGACCAGCTCCTGCGTGAACCCATGGGGAGCCTGACCAGCCCCTGCGGTCTCAGCGGCTGCGGCCCGGCTCACCCGAGGACACTGGCTGGTGCAGGGCGGACTCCTCACAGGCCTGGTACCTAAGCCCAGGGAAGGGTAGCAGGGGGAGTGAGAGTGAGAGCGGTGGACACCCAGCATTCTCACCGCACCTGTCCCCGTCACCCCCGCCCCCAGGTAGCTGGCAAGAGGTTGCAGCCCGTCGCCTATGCCCGCCATGTTCCGTGCCCTCCCTGGTGGTCAGCGCATGTCATAGCAAGCAGCTGAACTCCCGGTGGAGGGAACAATTTGCACATTAGGCTTTTATTATATAGGAGGATTGCTAGACTCAGAATGAGAATCAAAAAAGTACAAAGACTGTATTTGGTTAACACGTCTCTTAAATATCTTAGTCATTTAGCCTATACATTTCTAATATTCTGAGTTTTGCTGACTGCTTCCCTGTGTTGTCACTTAACATATTCCTGTGTATCTGTTAGCTAATATTGCCGTATTTCCAACACTATGTGCCAAGAGATGTGGTGACAGTGTCCATCCTTGTCTTGTTTCTGACTCTAGTGGGAATGCCTTTAGTGCTTCTCCATTTAAGATTTTATTCAATGCTTTATAGTAAATGAGTAGTAAATTTTGTCAAATACCTTCCCTGCATATTATGAAATCACGATTTTTCTCTTCTGGATTGCTGGATTTTGTTTACTAATATTTATTTTACAACAATATTCCTAAGTGAAACTGGTCAGTAGCTTTCTATTTTGGTGCAAACTATCAGATTCTGGGATCAATATCATACATACTTCAAAAGAAATTTGAAAGTTTTCTCTCTTTTTATGTGGTCTTAATAAGTACTTGCAGTAACACTAGGCTATCTGACCTTTAAGATTTGGTAGAATTCCCCTGTGAAGCCATCTTGACCTTTATGCAAGTGCTCTTTTACTAGTTTCTCTATTTCTTCTATTTCCTCTATAGTGACTGGTCTATTTAAGCATTCTGCTTTTGAAAGAGTTGATTTTGATAAACTGTATTTTTCTATAAAATTATCAATTTCATCCACTAAACAAGGACAATTTTTAAAGCTTACCAAATATTATAGATTATCAGTTACATGTTCACCTTTCTATCAAAGAGTATTACATATTTTTTTATCCAGAGAAATTAAGGCAGGTATAAATAGTTCTGAAAGACTAAAGGAAACTTTTTATATGTCAAATAATTATCAATATGGCAATAATCCATTAGAATAGACCCTAATTATTCTTGTGGTAGCCTAAATGTTTTTAAAGCCAAAATGTTATTTTCTATTACATTAAATATGACATTACATTAAATGTTAAATATATTACTCAGTATAACATATTGTAGTCAACTCAAAAAGAGGGGGGGAGGTAAAAAAAAAAAAAAAAGGAGCACTATAGAGCAAAGTGTTAGAGAAGTATGCTGAACTTCATGAGTATTTGCCTTGAAAGGGTGTTTTAACAAAATCTTTTAAATGCTTAGTTCTTCCATCCTACTGAGGTGCAGCTTCAATACTACATCTCCGATTAAGATCCCAGGCATGAAGACAACATTGTAGTCATACTTCCAATACCTTAATGATAAAAATAAACTAAATAGATTACTTATTTTAAATAGATTTTAGATTTATATATTGTGGGGCACACAAAACAAGAATTACATTCAAACAGTTGCATTAAAGTGCTTTGTATATCTCAAATAAATAGGCGTTATATTGTATATTTGACATAACTGCCAACTGACATAGTCTGACAATATGCAGTGGGAAATAAATATCACCTGTCTATGTAACAACTTGCCAATAATAAGGAAAGAGTCACAAGAAATAAACAGACAAATCCAGATTGTGGGACAGTCTATAAGACAGATGGTCTAGACCTGAGCTGTATAAGATAGCCATTAGTCAAATGTGGCAATTTAAAATTAAATTAATTAAAAGTAGATAAAATTAAATTTTAATTTCCTCAGTTGCCCTAGTCATATAACAAATGCTTACTAGCCACTTGCACCTAGTGGCTATTGTATTAGACTGGTGCTGGTTAAACTTTCAAAAAAGGCAGTCATGAAAGGAAAAAAAGGCAGAGAAGTTTCTAGACTAAACAACACTAGAGAGAACTGACAACTTAAATACAATACACGATCCTTGATTTGATCCTGCATGGAAAAGAAAATTATAAAGTATATTTTGAAGATAATTAAGGAAACTTGAATGTAGGCTGTACATTAGAGATACTGTAGCAATATTAAATTTCTTAGGAGTGATAATGGTATCATGGTTATGCAGAAGAACGTCCTTATTCTTCAGAGCTACATGCTAAAATACTGAGAGATGATCCATCATGTCTATAACTCACTTTTAAATGCTTTTGCAAAAATTAAACATAGAAAGATACCAAAATGGAGCAAAATCCTTAAAATATCTACAACTGATGAATATAGGTGAAGGGTATATGTGTTTGTAGTATTACTGTCAACTGCTTTGTTTTTTAATAAGTTTCACTTTGTTTTTCCTTTTTTGTTGTTTTTTTTGAGGGGGTAATCCAACATGAGATACACAGAAAATTACAAAAACCTTTCCATTCTTCAAGTTTTTGATTAAAGAAATATCTACTAACTATACAAATTAGGGTCATTTAATGTCTGGTTTTTGATAAATGATCACAAATTTGTAGACCAAAACTTAAAGTTCTGAGGTCGAAATACTTGAATATATTAACAAGCCTCAAGATTCAGAACATGTGCAAGTTCAATTCCAGAATGCCTCCCATTCAAACTTTGGGAAAGAAAGAGTTGATTTAGAAGGCATGAGGGGAGCTATTTAAATCTATACTATGTACTCTTAGCAAATTATGGGACAGAAAAGATATGTTTTAAATTTTCCCAACTCCAATAAACATTTACAAAAATTAAATACTTATGCTCACAACAATGCCCTCTTACTTCTGAATAAGAATCTGTTATGAACCTTAACCTTTTGAGTATCTTTAGCAGTATCTCAAACTCCCCTAAAAGATACACGTATGTATTACTCTTTAAGATAAATAATTGTATAGCCTCTTAGTATTAAAACATAGTAACTAAAAGTCTTTATTCCAAGAAACCAAAAATTGTTTTTTAAAATTGTCGATACATTTTTATGCTTATATTTAAATCTACTTAAGACATTGGTTTTCATTCAATGTTTCTTACTCCATTTAGTTTCTATTTGTGTTGTGGGACAAATGTTTTATGGGAACACATTACCAATATTAAATATTTAACAACCCTTTTAAGATGTACATAGTTCAAAACTTTTCATGTCTTGATTGACATCAGATGGGAAAAATGAAAATATTTTAATAGCTCTTCACAGTGTATTCATAACATTTGCATGAAAATTAATTATTTTATTTCTTAAAACTTTATTTTTCCTGTTTATTTTCCTACCCGAGGCCAAAACGCTGATATCACACTAAGCTGATATGTAAAAAGGTATCCCTGTAGCTAAGGAGGAGGACTATTGTGCTCTTAAGATATTTTCTTGCCAACACCCTTAGTAATAAAAGGTAAAAAATACAAAGATGTGAACATAACTTACAAGTTAAATGATTTTCAAAATTTTCCAAAAGGTGTCACAACCCTAACTTACACATGTTCAAACTTTCTAACCAGATATTATATTTCAAATAATTATATAACAGTTCTATTTAAAATAAATATTAATTGCACATCCCTAACTAAAAATAATTAATGTCAGTACAATATGTTAAAGACACAACCCCACCACACCTACACACACAGAGAGAATCTCTCATATTTCCCTGACTATAGATTCTCCTTATTCAGCAAGAATTTAAGGACTTACATAAAGGACTTGTAGCCCCATAATACAGATCTGCTTTAATGTACTCACTATACATGCTTTCATATATTAATTTTAATTTGAGGTAACACTTTTTAAAAAATCATTTTTTGATCTGCCAAAACAGTACCTTTATTTACTGCCTTGCATACGCAAATCAGCTACCATAAAGTGCTATTTCTGAATTTTACTTACTTCCTAAATAGCTCTCAAAATATAGATATTGCATTATTAACTATTCGTATTAATTTTCAATATATTCTTAAGCTCTTAAGTCTTCAAGTTATTATTTAGAATAACAATTTACTCTTAAAACTAGAAAAACAATACTCAAGTCATATTTGGTTCTAAGACAAAATCATTAACTAGCACATTACTTTTTGACGGAAAAATGTATTTTTAAGTCTTAAAATGGCTATTAAAATAGTTCAGAAAGCAGATTTTAAGTCACAAAGAAATTAAGTCAGGAGAAATTCAGGAAAAGTTTATGATGGGAAATAGGTTATAACACACATATAGACAAATCCCAATAGTCAGCCAGTAAGTTTACTTTTAAAGTTCTTATTTGAAAGTACTTCAAGCAAGTAAAAGATAAACATGAAAACAAAGTCAATTTTACTTTTACCAAATAATGGCAAATGGAAGGTATATCAATGATTTCACTAGTAAGTCTACATACATAGCCTTTTGGAATATCTGTGTCCTCATTACTTCCAGGGTCATTTTCTAAGTGCTGCTTGATTTTTTCTTCTAGTCCCACAGCATCTGCTCCTTGATATTGATCGATCCTCACTTTGTTTCGAAAAAACAAAAACGTAGGTGTTGCTGATATGTTGTTGGTGGCAGCTGTTCCCTAGAAGTGGCAAGTTAAATAGCATTATGAATTAAAAATAATCTTAAATCACTTTGAATATTTACTCTGTATCCCTATGGAAGTTAAATATCATGGACTAAAGACATGTAAAATAATTTATTCCTAATAGGTACTTAAGAAAAAGCAGGCCTATTCCCTAAACTACATTACCAACTGGGGCACAACTACATTACATTATTAGTTTTACATACACAATGAAGAACAGCCCTATATTTTTATCAGTTTTAGCATTAAACACTTCACACAGTAAAACAAGTTAACTGCTTTATAGAAACTGCTTTACAATGCCAGATAGCTCTCTCATAACTACATGCTGTTTCCCAAATGAGTATTGATATGTCAGCACAAACCACTGGTGCTAGGAAAAAATACACATATGAAAAACAGTAGCCCATCTGACCATGAAACTTAGGTAACATCCTTTGCATTGTAATCCTCACCCAGTTCTACTCTTATAGAAATGCCTTCTGATCTTTTTAAATTCTGTTCCAACGCCACAATTTTTACAAGATAACTAGTGAATGGAAATTAGTTAATAAATACTGATTCATGAGAATTATAAAGGAAACAATAAAGCAAGTGTGTCACCTTACATATTCAAATACTATGAACATGCACCATCATATCGTCTAAAGGCATCAAGTTTACATAAAGATGTCTTCTCTAAACCTCATAAAAGACAGATCTTTTAGAACAGTGCTGTCCAAAAGAAACATAATGTAAGACATGAATGTGAGCTGCATATGTAATTTAAAATTTTCTAATATCCACTATAAAAGAGTAGAGAAAGAAGTGAAATATGTAACTACAAGAGAGCATAGCTCCAGAAGTGAGAAGAAAGCACTTCCAGGTCAGAGATGGTGAATGCTTAAAATAAAAGCCAAGCTGGGCCGGTGTGGCTCAGTGTTGAGCTTCGACCTATGAACCAGAAGGTCACGGTTCGCTTCCCAGTCAGGGCACATGCCCGGGCTGCAGGCTCGATTCCCAGTGTGGGGCGTGCAGGAGGCAACTGATCAATGATTCTTTCTCATCATTGATGTTTCTATCTCTCTCTCTCCCTCTCCCTTCCTCTCTGAAATCAATACAAATTTATTTAAAATAAAAATAAAAAATAATAGCCAATATTACAGTCTGGTAGTATGTGACATAGGCACTAAATAATGAATGTTAATATAGGGTTTACACTAACCAAATCCCCAAACTACTAACTACAAACTAAACAACATTCTAAAACATTTCCACACTCAGAAATTAACAAAGCCTCACACACACACAAAGAGTAGCTACAGTGCTGTCCCTGAGAGCTAAAGACTATATTTTTAGTGCTGGAAGGAGCAACTCCTCCATATTTCTACATATGAAAATGCAGAACTGTCACACAGCCGTTCCAATTAAGTAATCAGGACAATCTATCTACAACAGTGGTTCAATCAAAAGTAACCAACATTTTAAAATTTCTGCTGAGTATGCAGCTTTGGAGCAAAGATTACAAACTGATCAATGCAAATCAAACTACAGGCTAGAACAAAAATAGGTAGGTTTACAGTTGTTCGCATGGAAAATAATACAATAAAATAATAATACAAGAATAAACTGTGTTTCACATACTCACAAGTGTAAACCTACTTTTGCCACATCCTGTATAATCAAGAATTTTCTGCTACAGCTTTCTAATCAGCCAATGCCTCTGTAGTAGAAGAGATAATTCTAGATTTGCAAAAAATAAAGAAATGTAAAAAAATACAGAACTGGCAGGTGACCTATTAGTTTAACAACATAATATTAGTTTTGATATCAGAAAGCTACTAATACAAACAAACTCAGAAGCAATTAATATAACTGAACTACCCTTCTTAACTAATGCAGCCATAATGGGCATTTATAATAATCATTATCAACATAACATTTTATTATCTTTAAAGGAGTAAGTACTATATACACAAAAAGATAAATGATGATATTAATGTTGAAATTCCAAACAGATTTGTAAACAATTTTTTTTTAAAGGGCTCCTTTCCCTTACCTGACACTGGTGTACATCTACTTCCAAGAAAACTGCCTGTGGATACTTATTACTCATAGTACTGAATGCTGGGGCAATCCTTAAACATGGTCCACACCTGTGAGAAAGGTAAGAAGATACTGGTAAAATAACACCAAAGATTGTACTACTTTATACTCTGAAGAACTTGTGTCAATTAAAACATAAAATAAGATAAAACAAATTCTGATCATCTTGGCTTTAGACTCCTAGTCCTTTCCACTGGACTATTTAGATATACTTGCATCAATACCACATTGCCTTTTATTTAGAAAGGGAGAGGAGAAGGAGGGAGAGAGGGTAACCCCACTAGCTTTCTGCAATTTATTAAGAACCAAACCCACAAAACTAAAACTTTTAAGTTGACCTAACCTAACACAATTATTTGGTGAGAGCTGAAGACCAGAAAGTTTAATGATTTGTTCAAGATCAACCACTCTAGTTGATGTCAGGACCACAACTAGAATAGTCAACTCCTAAATCCAGTCCAAAATGAGCTTTCCCTGAAGAGTAATTGTGCTAAGAGTAGTAAGCTAGAAACTAAAGAACAAATATTATGATTCCACTTATATGAAGTACCAAGAAGAGGTAAATTCAAATACAGAAAGTAGAAGAGAAGCTACCAGAGCTGGAGGTGTTTGTGTGCGAGGGGGGTGAGGGGAGATTGAGAGTTACTATTTAAAGGGTAGAGTTTCCATCTGAGATGATGAAAACATTCTAGGGAATATATAGTGGTGATGGTAGTACACTGTGAATGTACTTAATGCCAATGAATTGTATACTTAAAAATGGTTAAAATAGTAAAATTTATGTTACATATATTTTACTACCTATAAAAAATGAGAAAAAAACTAGAGAGAGCCACTGAAGATTCTTAAATGGAAGAGTGACAATCTGTGTAGTGTTTTAATAAAATTAGTAGACAGGATAGCTAAAGCATGGGAATGATAAATAAGGAATAAAGGTTTTAAAATAGGGTTGGAAAGGAAATGAAGTAGGTGCTGCAGGAAACTATGTTCTTGGCCTAAAATGGGACATTAACTTTGATCTAAGAGGTTTCTTACATGATTTAACTTGATATAGTTCGATGTTTGAGAGTCTAATACCGATGCCAGTATATGTAAATCTAGAGTCACAATGGCACAGAGTTGGTGTAGGAATGTATTAATGGCCAAAATGTTAAAAGAACTTTAAAGGCAAATACAATGTTATCAGATTTGTAAATATTACCTAATACTTTTGAATTTAAAAGTTATCTAAATTCAACTATTTTACTTGCTCTCAGTTTTTACAAAGAAAACAAAATGTTCATCCCATCAAAATACCCTTTTTAAAGTAAATAAGAGCCCTGGCCGTGTTTCTCAGTGGTTAGAGCATCAACCCTTGGACCAAAGGGTTGTGGGTTTGATTCCCAGTCAAGGTCAGGGTGGGTGAAGGTCGAGTGCTGCAAGCAACCAATCTCTCTGGCATGGATGTTTCTTTCTCTTTCTCTCTCCCTCCTTTCATCCCTTCCACTCTCTAAAAAAAAAAAAAAAAAAAAAAAAAAAAAAGGAAAAATAAACATTCTCAGGTGAGGGCAAACAAATAAAATAAAATAAATTACTCTTTTAAAAAGTAAATAACTGCTTTTGATTGGTAACCAATCAATGTCTAAGGTTATGTTTACTAGTATGGTTAAATGATAATATATTGCTGAAGGAGGTGTTTCCTTAATAGCAACATTTCCCCACTTTTCTCACTTCAATTAATAACTTATTGCTCTGTCATCTCTCCCTTTGCTATGATAAGGGGGTGAAGGAAAAAAGACTCTATCATTGAGGGATAAAAGTACAAGTGCTGTCACTGACTAGAATTAGGAAAGTGAACTAAAAATGAGATTCACTGCTAAAATCATCTCTTCCCACCTGGCTGGCATGGCTCAGTGGTTGAGTGTAGACGTATGAACCCGGAAGTTACGGTTTGATTCCATCAGGGTACAGGCTCGATCCCCAGTGTGGCACATGCAGGAGGCAACCAATCAATGATTCGCTCTCATCACTGATGTTTCTGTCTCTCTCTCCATCTCCCTCTCTGAAATCAATAAAAATATATTAAAAATAAAAAGTAAATAAAATCATCTTTTCTCTTTTCCAACTCTGGCTTAAGTCCTTAACAAATGTACAAGTATTCCCCCATAGTAAGAGCACAGACATTACAAAATTGCTAAATCTGGGAAGGCACATTTGTAGAACTCTGACCTTCCTCTTAGATATGTCTTTATAAACAAAATCTTCATCCTCTTCAATATAATAAATATCAAAGTCCACATGTCAAACGCGTATTCTATCTATTCCACCATATAAAATTCAACGTACTGCCCTTTTTCAATTCTGTATAAGAGACACTGGTCCAAAAATAAGTCCTAACTGGTTTTCATCTCTATCTGCAATTTTCCATCCCCTAAAACTATCTAACCCTAACGTCATTTCTTCTATACTCAACATGTATTGAATCTTGTTCAGTAGCTGTGAAACACTTTTTGCTCTGGGATTCAAAATATTGCCTTGTTTATATAGTTAGTTGGGCAATAAAATGCATCACATAAACAGCGACAGCCACAGTAGATTTCTCCAAGTTAGCACGTAAGTGTAAATAACGTCAGGGGGTCAAGATAAATCAAGTGGATACCTCTAAGCCTTATACCACCAGTGATGGCGAACCTTTTGAGCTCGGCGTGTCAGCATTTTGAAAAACCCTAACTTAACTCTGGTGCCGTGTCACATATAGAAATTCTTTTATATTTGCAACCATAGTAAAACAAAGATTTATATTTTTGATATTTATTTTCTATATTTAAATGCCATTTAACAAAGAAAAATCAACCAAAAAAATGAGTTCGCGTGTCACCTGACACGCGTGTCATGGGTTCGCCATCACTGATAGACACTGACATACACAAGGGGTGTTCAGCAAATAGACACACTCGCTCAAACCTTGGTTCTGAATGCCTAGTTCCAACATGTCCCTCTCACACAGGAACACTGCACACCCAACCAACATGGAAGATCCACCAGCTCCGAGACCCATAAATCATGTTAAGAGCTACTAAGGCCAGTGAGCAGCTTATCAAGATCCCTGCCCTAGCCGGTCTGGCTCAGTGGATAGTGTCAGCCTGTGGACTGAAGGGTCCTGGGTTCGATTCCGCCCAAGGGCACAGGCCTAGGTTAAGGGCTCCATCCCCAGTAGGGGGCGTGCAGGAGGCAGCCCAGGAGGCAACCGATGATTCTCATCAGTGATGTTTCTCTCTTTCCCTCTACCTTCCTCTCTGAAATCAATCAATAAATAAATATTTTTAAAAGATCCCTGTCTTCTTAAATCATTGGGTTAAAAAAAAAAAAGGAGTCTATATGAGCAAACCCAAACGTCTGGACACCTATCTACCTGTATTATACACCCCTACTATAATTTTTGTGTTCACACAGGGAAGCCTACGTTACAAAGCTACTAACCAAACAAGTAACAAAAACGTTAAGAAATTAAAAAGCACCCTGACCCAACATTAAACTTAATTTAAAATGCATTCGCTGAGCCTTTGGGTTAAGCACTACGCGGATCCGTTGGATAGATCCACGGGAAGCTTCCAAAGGTGAAATGCAGGTGGTGCAGAGTATCAACGTGTGCGGTAAATTAAGATTTCTGGGTTTCTAAGATGCAAGTGACAGCTGGCTCCCTGGAAAGAGAGGAACAGACGCGAGCAGGGGCGGATGTCGGAGGCTCCGGACCAGAGAGAACAGAGGCGGGCCACCTCAAGAGCAGGGCTCGTCTGAGTATTCAAAATGAGCTGGCGGGCATCTCCCGGGCTGGGGAAGCGGGCAGTCTGGCTTCCGTGCCCGCTAGAGACTCCCCGGTGCGCAAATGGGGACCAGACCCAAGAGCTGAGGCCTAACTGAGCAGCGGCCTGGGGCTGCGGTCAGAGCCAGACATTCCAGAGCAGGACGAGACCACCGGGGAGCCGGGACCCGGAAAGGGTGAAAGGCAAGCACCCGCGGACAGAAGGGCCCACGCGGCTCGGGCCCGGCCTCACCCTCGCATGGTGAACTTGACCACGGCGAGTCTGGAGCCGGCGCCGCTCAGCTCCGGCTGGAAATCCGGGTCGCTCCCGACCGGCTTCACTCCCACCATTCTCGGGGCCCGGAAGGGAGGCCGCGACGCCACCCGCTGCGAAACTGAAGGAGAAGACGACCGGGAGAGGAAGCGGGGATGCTCGGAAGGCCGAGGCCTGGACAGAGGCGGCGGCGATCGCGGAGCGGCTCCCGGGGC